AAACGCATGGCATACATATAAGGCTCGCAGAATCGACCGCTGAGACTTCGCAAAAGGGTGTGGTGAGGTAGAAAAGCCACTGCTAGCTTGCATGCCACTACATGGAATATGCATCCCAGCATGCGCCCTTCCTCACCCCGCCAATTGCTGGTTGTTGCATCACCGACCTTGCTTGCCATTCCAGGACATTTCCACCCCACAGGCTATTTATATGATCCTGTGTCTCAAAGACACTTGTCTGGCAACCCGATATGCAAGAAACTGTCTGTGAGCTGGTGTTTTTCATTCAATAATGCCCGGCTAACTGCAGCAAAAGTACAGAATATTAAGAGGCGACAAATGTCTGCCCAACGGGAGGGCGTAGCCGGACATAAATCCGATGGGATGGCACGAGGGCCCGGAGAGTTGTATTTAGTCTCATTGACTGTGGTGCCTTACATTTGCAGAATAAGATGGGGTGCGTTGTTGTTATTGCCTCCCCGTCATGGAATCCACCCCCATCATCGACCTCAAGGCCAATTACCCACAAACGATAGGCAACTTCGATCGAAAACGCATCGAAGGGTGGGGTTTGCGGTGCCTGAGCAGGCGCTCTCCAGATTTGACCCAGGCTTATTGCCTTCCAGCTGAGTCCGAGGACTCCAGCCCTGACCTGACCTTCACTGGTAGGCGCCTATGCCAATGACATCCCGCTTTAGAAACAGAGATCCTCAGCAGTTGAAAGGACATGTCCAACGCCACTTTTGCATCGACCCTACCGCCCACAAAGGCAGCACACCGGCTGACAAAATGGCATCGTCAACGATCTTCTCCACTCGTTGACAAGCGGCGAGCAGCGCGCAACAAAGAGCTGCGTTGCTACATCGCGACATTGCACTACATGTGAGCAATGTAAGCATGCGCCTGGCTTGCCGAGATCAAAAGGCATTTTACTGCCATAACCTACACTGCAACTGCAGCATTGACAAAAGGCACCCAAAACGTCCAGCTGATCACTGTTTCCTGCATACGGCTCTCAACCATCGCATTCCGTTTTATGCGAGCAGCCTAACGACAGAGGCATCATTTATTTGTTTGTATACCCATGTCATTGACTTGCCGTGAGGAGGAAGGCTTCCAGTGCCCTTGTCTTCGCTTCCACAGAGCACAAGCAGTGAATGTTGGCCTTTGTGTACACGGCTATTGACATATTTCGTCCGTCTTCCAATGCCGTTTGGCTCCTTTGTTATACGA